TGGGACAAATAACAGAATGGCACTATAGTTTCACAGCAAGAGACAATAAATAGAAACTTGGTGGAGTCAGCCCTCAACTTTTTAAGTACCTACTTACCTATTAAATACTCCACTACAGCATATTTTTTGTTCAAAGGACACTATTTTTCAAATTCAGAACCCCTGAGAGTTTTTGTAGGTTGTATCTACTAGTATTTATAGCACTAGAAAAGGGAAAAATACTTCTAAAATATAAATTAAAAATAATAAACCCAATACATGCTCATACAATCTTTTAAAAAGCTGTATTTTCCTAATTAGAATAACACTGCATTAAACTGTTGCAAATCATTGTACTCTCATAAATAAACGACAGCTGGGTTCTCCTATTTGCTGGCAATATCCCATATTTTAAAGCCTCTGGTAACCACTGATTTGGATAAAGCCTTTATTTTTGCAAGAATTAGACTGAAAAACACAAATAACATCTCATACATACAGTATTGTGAAAATAGCCTCATGGTCTTCCTAAAAGTATTAAAGACCCCCAGATTTCAGTGACAAGTTTTGCTTTGATATTAGTAATAAAAAGCAAAGTAATTAAAGTGAGATGTCACTTCAAAGGCACTAAAATGACTATAATTGGAAAGACAGTAACAACTGTTACTCAGAATGTGGTAACTGGACTCCTCATGCATTGGTGGGAATGTAAAATGGGACAGAACTCTGGAAAATAGTCCAGTAGTTCCTCAAAAAGTTAAACACAGAGCTACTATTTGACAGGAATTTTACTCCTAGATAGATAGACAGATAGATAGATAGATAGATAGACACATGTCCAAGAAAAATGAAAACATGTTCACACAAAAACTTATCCAGGAGTATAAAGAGAGGTACTACTCAACATTCAAAAGTAAGAACAGCCCTGTAATCCCAGCAATGGGGAGGCTGAGGCAGGAGGATCACTGTGAGTTCGATACCAGCCTGGGCTACATAGTGAGTTCTAGATCAGTCTTAACTATATTGTGAGACTCTGTCTCAAAAAAAAAAAAAAAGTAAGAACAGCCCAATACACTATTTCCTATTTCAGAATTCCATACTAGAGGTCTACAAAATCACAAAACAAAAGAGTTGCAGTAACTTGATGATTCTCACACATGACTCCATTATTTACCTTTCCTATTGACCCACAGCTATTTCCAAAAGTTGAACAGCTAACAGAAAACAATTCCATGCAGTGACTCTGTGCCATGACATTTTTAAAATCCACTTGTTTCAAAAATCCCTATTATAGAAACCACTTTGAAACATAAACTGTTCCAAATACTCTTAGTCAAAAATGGAAACATTACTCAACTGATTCTAGTTCTCCATGAAAAATTAATTTGGGAAAATATTTAAGATTATCTACTTCAAACAAATAGCATTTAATAAATATGAACTGTACACAGCACAGTCTAAAATTAAGGCATACTGTGTCTGCCTGTTGGTTATATACAAACAGGAACCAAAGGGGAAATATGAAAATGAATTATCAACTTAACCACTTATTACCCAAATTTCACTCATCAGGGCATATTCATAAGTACCATTTTAGTGTAACATGTTAAGGAAGCTTTACTTACTGAAAAAGATTATAAATGATAGAAAATGGATTCTAGGTTATCTTCCTCAAAGAGTTTGAGACATCATATTACAGTGAGACATGCATACTCATGTTCATAGTGGCACAATTTATAATTTCTAAATCCTGGAAGCAGGCTATAAACCCATCAATAGATAAATGGATAAAGAAGGTGGTATTTATACACAATGGAATACTATTCTGCCATGGAAACAATAAGCTTGAATCATTTGTAGTAAAATTGATGACCTTGAGACGATAACACTAAATGAAATATATCAGACACACAAGCTGAAATATAAATATGTAATATAAACATAAGTTTCTCTCACTTGAGAAACCCAAAACATAAATAAAGAGCAAAATAAAAGGTACTATAATAGGAAACAGGGTGATAGGTCTCTTACAAATGGGAAAGGGGCCAAGACATGGAGGGAAGGTGGAGGAGATTAGGAAAGAACTGAGGTGTGTTATATACACGAACCAACTCCCCACCAGGAATGTGTGACCGTTATGTACTGAAAACATGCACTGATACAAATAAAGTTTAAAAAATGTTAGAATATAGTTTGCCTGATAAGAAACATAACCCTTTGATACTATCCTCTGGTGATCTTTTGCTTACCCTCTTCCCCTCCCAGATAAGAATTTTGAGGATTACTTACTTTTTTTGTTGTTGTTGCTGAGAATTTAACCAGAAGCCTTGAGCATTCTAAGCATACAAATGATCCACCGAGCTACAAACACCCGCAACACCATTTCCAGTATCTTTTTGTTTGTTTTTTTCTGAGACAGGATCTTGCTATGTACTTTAGACTGGCCTTGAACTAAATGCAACCCAGACTAGTCTCCAACTTGCAGTGATCCTCCTGCCTCAGTATCCCCAGTGCTGGAATTATAGACATAAGTCACCACTTCTAGCATTTCCAATTTGTTACTCTAGATTTTCAATGTCATTAAATATTTTTTCAATAAGCTATTTTTTCTTTTTTGTACTAAATATCAAATACAAGGCCTCACATAAGCTAGGCAAGTGCTCTAGAGCTATACAGCCAGCTCCCTCAATGACAAATTTTAACTTGTAGAAATGTTAAATATAGGGTGGCCACTGCACTCACTCAAGAGGGGAGGACAGAAATGTTAAATACAGCAAACCCTGTAAAGAAATTTTTAAATTAAAAATGATAGGTCTTTTTTGTGCTCTGAGTAGAATTTTACAAACAGACCATCTGAAAATGTTTTCTCACATTCTCACATAGAAAATATAGAAACAAAGTCTTTGTAAACAGGGAAGGGTGAAGGGGGTGAAGGGAGGGCAGTGCTATGGGGAAGAAACAAGAACCAAGATCTCTCATGTGAAGGTACAAGATCCCAATAATAAAATGGAACTGCATTGTTTGCTTTAAATGTACCAATAAACTTAATGGGAGGACACAAGAAGTTTAACTTATCTTCAGGGTCTTGGTGCAGGATTGAGCTTCAATTTTTATACTTTCTGCTTCAAAAGAAAACAATGATCAAAGCTTAAAAATTGGGCTGGGGATTTAGCTCAATGGTTCCACCGCTTGCCTCACAAGTGCGAGGACCCAAGTTCGATCCCCAGTACTGCTACCAGAAATTGTTACTTCAAAAAACTATTGCCCACTGTGTTCTCTTTTGCATGGTGGCTGCCCTCACACTGTCTACTGCACCTCCTTTCCTACTCTTTCTTGGCCCAAACACACACTACAAAGCCAGTTTCTTTTCCTACCTTTAATAAAATTTTGCTATTTTTTTTAAGTTTTAATTTTATCTATTAAAAACTCACTTTGGTTACAGTGAGTTAAAATATAAAGCTCCACAGAATTTAGAATTTCAATTTCACCATCATAAAAACTAAAAAATATCCTCACAGCTATTTACCTAGACAAATTCTTTTCTATGTATGAAATACTATTTTTATTTTTAATCTTTTGCAATAAATGTTGAAAGCAGCCAGGACGGTGGAGATCTAACCTGGAAATCCTTGAAAACTCAAGGTCTTCACAACTTAATTTGGCTACACAGCCATAAAAATAGCTGGAATTAAAGACTGACAATACCAAATGTTAGTAGGGATGTGGGGCATCCTCGGTGCAACTGATAACACTACACTATGTCAGTAAAACTAAACAGAGCGGTCCTATTAGTAGTCCGCTCACTTCTTATTCAACCACAGAGAAAAATCTTGTGTTACTCAAAGGATTTGTACAAGCTGGATCATAGTAACTAAATGGAAACAGGTGATCCTCAACAGCGAATAAATTGTGGTATATTCATACAGCAATAAAAAGAAGTGCTACTAGGGCTGGGGATTTAGCTCAGTGCTGCCTGCTTTGCAAGAGCAAGATCCTGAGTTCAATTCCTGGTACCAAAAAAAAAAAAAAAAAAATGCTACTACACAAAAGGATGAATCTCAAAAATACTATGCTAAATGAGTAAAAAGCTGTAACCAAAAGAGTATATGACACATGACCCTGCTAAATTCTAAAACAGGCAAATTTAATCTGGTAAAAAAAAAATAAAGGGTCGGGGATTAGCTCACTGGTGCTGCCACCACCTGCCTCACAAACGGAAGGTGAGTTCGATTCCCAGTACCAAAAATAAAATAAAATCAGAGGTTGAAGGGACAGAGTTGACAGAGCTGCCATGGAAAAGGCACGAGGAAGAAATTTCTAACCAACTGTTACATCTTACAGACTTGGGTGACCTGGGTGTAAACATTTGTGAAATCTCAAGAGCCGCAAGCAGGTGTCCTTTCCTGCACGTCAAATTTACACCCTCCCCAAACAAAAAAAAAGTTGGAGTCGAATTAACAGGCATGTATATCGCCGAAGTGCCGTTTAAGGTCTCCACACACTGATAGCTGCAACTGTGAAACACATCCCAAAAAATAAGATGAACTTAAGAGTTCAGGAAAACGTTAATTGTAGGTGATAGCCATACAGAGGCTGCACTGTACAGTTCTTTTAACTTTTCTGTTGAAGCTTTTTACTTTTAGGTTGGAAAATACAAGGAAAACTTTAGTAATGCCACAGGGAACCCGGTGGGCTAGTATAAAGTAATGGTGGGAAACAAAGAGAAATGCTTTAGCTGATGATAATAATTTCCCTCAAATGATGACACAAACCCTCCAGCCTCACAAACACACCACCTTTGGAACTAGGTAAACCCTGGGGAAAATGAAAAGTGCAGTTCAGTAACTGCTCGCTTATTCCCTCCCTTAAACGGCTCACACTGTTACAGAATGTCACATATCAAGAATTACTGAAAATATTCCAGGACGTATTCAACTACAAACTACAACAACCCATTGTTCTGCACCACTTCTTAATTAAATGCAAAATGTGTGCTCTTGTAAACACTGTAAGCAGTTTACCTGGTGAAATTCTCCACTAAATCCAAGTTTTTCTTTTATTCGGTTGAAATCCATAATGCCCAAGTAACGTCGCTACCGCCCCTCCAAAACGAAACAAAAACCTACCCAATGACTGGTATCTAAAAGATGACAAATATACTAGAAGAGAGACATCCAGTCACTGTGAGCGGGTCATTCCCTTCTCTCGTTAGCCCTAGAACTATTACTCGAGATGTGGCTGAAAACCATTTATTTATTCATTTGGTAAAAGGTGGAGATGAGGAAGACTCCAGCCCCCAAGCCGCACGGCCGCAGGTAAAGGTGCAGCTCAAAAGCTCCTTCATTGGCAGACAGGTATAACAATGGGCACACCCCCGCCCCGCTCGCTCGGCGAAGGGTCTCCTTCCTTTGTGCGGCCTCTGCGGGCGGGGAGAGGGAGGCCGG